TCGATTGCGTATTTTTATCACGGTATCTGTAAAACTAAAATTAATACATTGTTAGGTGTTCACTTTCAAGTGAATTTAATTCTCTGGCAAACTGAGTATCTGCCCGTGAAAATGAAGACGGTTGTGTACAGAAGTACCACGAGTCTGCCTACTGCAGTGAGAAGACAGCCCAGTCTTTATAGCATATAAATAATTCCATGCAACTTGCACTCAAACAGTCAATAATGGTGCCACCAATGGTGATGATTTATACACTTACTGTTTACTTACCATTATTTTATTAATGCCAAAAGAAGAGAAAATTGTGCCAACCGTGTTCATGCAAAACATCCCATGCCTGTCAAATGGTAGGTACGGTCAGCCAATAATCATCAAATCCAATGCACAGATGAAAAGTTCCATACAGCACTGACAACGTTGCAAAGAACTGGTAAAAATTTGGTTAAATTTAATGTATTCATAGCTTCCTCAGTGTAACAAAAAAAGCCACAAGAGCAGAATGATACGGCATAAAAGTGCTTTGTTCCATGTTTCAGTGTTCCATCCTTCCAGGGGGTAAGGGATAATGTTACTGTGATTCTTACCTAGAGACTGAAGATAGCTGAAATTTTTTTAAGCCACTTTTTTTCCTGCCAGCCTTTATATATAACATTAGTATTGATATACATGACAGATCCTTACCTGTGAATAGCTCCTGAATCTTCTGAACTTTTGTCTTTAAAGTCAAGGATCTCCTGAAGACTTTGGACATACCTTTAAATGAAAGAAACGTGACACAGACCAGTGCTAATATACTTCCCTAGTTCCCCCTGGTTAGCAATATTCTAAGACTGGCTGCATCTAAATAATTTTATTTGATATATCCCACAGATCTATCACCCGTGAATTTTGTGAGATATTTCTGAATGCACTCATGATGTTTTCTTCCAAAATTTCCAGAGCAAAGAACTCCGCAATTTAATTAAAATGCATAAACAATCTTCCTTCCATTTTAAATCCAATGGCTGATCACTTAGTTGGTTCCTGTTATTAGAAAATTTACCCAGCTTGTTCATGATTTAAATATTTCTGCCATCTCCAAGCCAAAGAATTTCCCCATGCGTAGAAACTTTTCCAGCCCTTTGATTATCCCTCCTGGACTTTTCTGTTCAGGATGGAGTGACGAAAACTGCATGTGATTCAGAAGAAGAATGGACTAACACAGTGGTGCAGTTACATTCTCCTCTACCACATTGGTTACTTAGTTCCTAACACTATTTGCCTTCTTGCCCATCAGCTGACATTCAGAAAAATATCCACAATTGCAACAGAATTTTTGATTGTGAGTAAGAATAGAAGGGGAGGAGGTTGCTCTCTGCTTTGCATTTGTCCAGGTGGAATTAATTCTCCATTCTGTCAACATAATTTAGTACCACAAGAATTTAAGCTTCCATGTTTCATTGAGTTCTACACTATCTCTTTTTATATTCAGTCATCAAATCAACCCTACTCATTCAATGGCAGACTGTTCTCCTAATGTTAAAAGCCTTTTCCAGAATGCCATGCGCCATTAGCAGTTGCCAAGCAATCCCTTTGTTTTGCTTCCATCTCACAAAAATTGATGCTTAAACTGCTTACTTAAAAGCAAATTTTACTTTTCAAAGGACAGCTTTTTAATTTTAATAGCCTTGTATTGATCCTGCTGTGTTTTTTTATTTTCTCCACCCTTACTCTCAGTGTGCAATAACCTGTCTTTTAGACAAGTTTCTATTCTCTTTTGCAAGCATTTTGTGCATTTAGACACTTCTGTTGGTTTCTTCAGCTAGCTTCTTCATTTTAGGTAAGTTCCCTATTAAACACCACTCTGGTGGATTTTTGTTATTACTGAATTCTTATACATGACTGTCTGGAATAGTTAATGATTTTTAATTCCCTTGTCAGTTATCTCATTGCTCCAGCAAGTTTTTGTTTGTTTGTTTTTTCCCAAGTCTTCAAATTTAGTTTCTGTCCCACTGGGATATTTACTCATTCTATAAAATGTTCATGTTGTGAGTACATTAAATACTTCTTTCTGTAGAATTTAATGAGTTGCTTCTCCAGCTGTGTATATAAAGAAAGCCACCCTTGAAGGAATTAAATAACACCTCTTACCAACTCTGCACCAGCTGAACTGAAGGTGTTCTGAGAAGATTGTCTGGAAGCAGACTTATTTCCTTCATTATGTTTGCTAATCTTACAGGCAGCTCTTGTCGCAGAAACATAAATGAAGTCTTTTCACAGGCATTTTCAGATCCTGGGACCAAAAAAAAAGTTTGATAACATTAGAATAAAGTCAGCATTTATGGTAAAGTGCTACACAAACTCTTATGTTCCTGCCTAAGAGGCCTCTGGTTAGGTTTTAAAGTTGACTCAGACAGTCTGGTATGCCAATGTTTCTTTCAAGGCAGCAGTACACTTATATTTGAAACTGTTAACTCATAATGAAATCTACCAGCTCTGTAAAGATAAGGACATTCTTGAATACTTAAGAGTAACTACTGTGAGAACTGCTGGCCCATATCATTCAACTTTAAATAAGACTTCTATCTAATTACATTGCTTCTTTCATGTGTAGCAAACATTGACTAACTACCACTGATGAAAGGATGCGTCATTCATGAACAGCAAATGAAACCAGCATGCGAAGCTATTCGCTGGAGTCTGTGTACATATCAATTGTATGCAGTTATTAAGTCAAGGCTTAAATTCATTTCCACAACGCTTGTTTTACTAGGCCAGAAAGGAGGAGGAGGGAGGCAAAGAGGGTAAGAAATGCTGACATTTCAGCAATGCTACATCAATGGTATCTAAGCTTAACTAGGTTATGTACTGCTGTGAAGTACCTACCTCAGTTTTGGTATTTCACAACAGGGAACTCCTAAGAATTATCTCTTTGGTGGTTTTGCTCAGTTCAGCCTTCAATATGATACGGAGAAGAGCTGGGGAAGAAGATGGCGCTTACCAGTACTACACACTGTTTACATACAAGCTCTGCCCAGGAGCCTCATTCTTTTCCCTAGTCAGGTTGCATTTCTGACATGACTGTTACTGGCCTTTCCCTATTCTCAGGTAAAAATTCCATGAACTAGTCAAATTGAAGGTACAAGAATGAAACCAGAATCTTGAATTGCCCCCACACACTTGGCAAATGACATTCTGCAAAGTAGCTTTGCCTCTAGAGGTCACATCACAATCCTGGGTCAAAATTAGAAGACAGCTTAAGGTAAATAAGATTTCAGTGAATGGGAAAATGGCTTTGTTTCCCCATGCAGTTACGATCTATCTATGCAAAGAACTGATAAAGCTCCTACAGAAAACACAGTGCACATACAACCTAAGATACAACTGACGTGTCAGATTAAGACCAAAATTTGTTTACAGAATACTTCATTTGCTAGACTGATTGGAACTAAAATGAGAAAAGCAGATTTTGAAAACCACAGTTTTCAAGATTACCTTACGTCAAGGTAGTAATAGCAAGAAAGTGGCCTCCCTTTTGACGTGGTAAATACCACACCTTGAAAATAAATAATGATGTTAAGGCAAAAATGGTCATGTTGGTATTCTAGTAGTAAAACAATAGAGGTCAAAACTCACTTGCAAGGTTCTTTGCTTAATAGAATAGCAGCAAAGACTACAGTGAGGTTCCTGTAAAAATCTGGAACTGTAAACATGGGATACAATTTATTGTAACGTACGAACATTGAATGGACAGATGAAATAAGAGGGGATGCTTAAAAGAATCTGTTTACATCTTCCTATGTAGGAAGTCTGGGGTTTTCAATTATGTTTTACTTACGGGAAGATAAAGATCAGTACAGCTGTTTACTAGTTATACGTTAACATACAGCTTATGATACTGCTCTGCTTACAGAAACAGAAGCTATTGCAGTGGGGCTCAACGCTCAGGAGTGATGAAGGCCTTCCAGTATCACTTGCAGACCTTCCTCTGCACGGCCTTGGAAGCAGAGCAGTGCCTACAATAGATCCCTTTTCATTCCAAGCACTCCTCAACCCTGGGAGCGATATTTGCAGTTTTAGCATGGAGCATCAATCAGACTGAGCATCCTGCTGCCAATTTATTCATTTTCAAGGCCAGATTCCCAGCCTGGCTCTTGGCGTTTGCTTTCTGCTCCCTTTGGCACACATTCCCAAGCACGCAGCCCTCGGTGTTTATGCCGGGGCCGGGCACGTGACTGCAAAGCAGCCGCAATGGTTCCAGCCGCCCGCTCCGCCAGCGCTCCACGTTTCCTGCGCTCCGTAAAGCCTGCGTGCCGCCGGCTTTCAGCAGGCTTCACCAGCGCGCCTTTTCGGTCGCCGCGTTAGCGACTACCAGCCGTCATCGGCACCAGCCGTCCCCGGCTTCTCCCCAGCGCTGCAGCTTGGCGGAACACCAAACCGCCTCAGTGACAGCCGGATCTCGAGTTTCCAGCTGAGTTTCAACCTCGCCTCACTTTTGTCTCTGGGTAAGGAGCCACCTGGGCTCCGTTCTGGCGGAAGGAAGCCGAAGCCGGTTCCGCGAGGCCGGCGTTAAGCAGCAGCAGCAGCAGCAGCAGCGCGCGGCGCAGCAGCTGGCAGGGCCCGCCGTCCCGCTCTGAGCACCGCCCGCCCCGCGGCCGCCGGCGCGAGGCCCGCGGCTCCTCCACGCGCGCGAGGGCGGCAGTCGGCCGCGCGAGGCCGTCTCGAGCCTCGGCCCGTCAGGGCCAGCTGCGGCGGGACTCACCGAAGTCCAGGAACTGCTTCATGGAGAGCGGCGAGGGGGAGAAGCGCGAGTAGAAGTCCACCTGCTGCGGGATGCTGCCCGGGGAGGCGCAGCGCAGCAGGGCGCGCAGCAGCCTCATGGCTCCTCCCGTGCGGCCCCGCTCGGCTCAGCCCGGCCCGGCCGCCATTTCCCGCCGCGCCGCGCCCCGCTCCCCCGGCCCCTGCCCGCCCCGCGGCCTCCTCCGCCGCGCGGCCGGGGGAGGTGCCCGAGGCGGCGCGCGTCCTCCCGGCCCGGCCCCACGCAGCGGCGGCGGGGCGGAGGAGAGGGCGGCTCCCAGGCGAGGAGACCCCGCCCGGCGCTACCGAGGCGGCCGCCGACGCGCGTCCCGGCGAGAGACGACGCTCGCTCCAGGAGAAGCCCGGCCTCGGCAAGGTACGGCGTGCGGCGCTCGGGAGGGCGGAGGGGCTGCGGTCGCGAGCGGGGCCGGGGGAGCGGCGAGGGGGGGAGAAGCGGGAAATGGCGGCCGGGCTGAGGGGCGCCTCAGCGAGGGGTGCGGCGAGGCGCGGAGCGGCGCTGAGGGAAAGCGGGCTCCGGAGGTGCCGCGCTGCAGTGGGGCAGAAATGAAGCCGGGATGCCGCGGCGCCGATGTCCGTGTAGTCGGGCGGCACGCGCAGCGGGTCTGCAGACGGCTGTGAGGGCGCTCGTGCGGGCGCGTGTGAGGCAACGGGATGGGTCTGGTGGGTTCGTGCTCTACTCAAGCGAAAACCTCGGAGCGTCGATGGAAAAGGCGTTAGGTGCGATCGCGGCCGTTCCGACGCGTTTTCTGTGATGGGGGCGTTGAACCCTGCCGTTCAGCACGGCGCTCGGAGCCGAGCTGTGGTGGGTCAGGCCCCGCGCCGCTTGCTTTTGTATGGATGCTTGTGGTTGTTTCTCATGAAATTAACCGCCAGACGTGTCCTGTTCTCCCCTGAACATCTCGCCTGTGCTGGGAACAGGCGGCCGAAGTCCCGTGCCAGCCGGGAATCGCTCTGCCGGTTCTGCCGCGTTACCCTGCGCAGCGCGTCGCTGGTCCTGCGAGAGTGCTGGGGATAGGTAGCATCCTTAGTTATGTGGTGGTGGTGCTTCTTTTCGTTCTGGATGTTGCATTAAAGTGCAGAGCGCATGCTGATTTGCTCCACCTCCAAAGGCAATTTTCTGAGCAGTAACATTAGAAGGAAGGACGGAGCTGGTTCAGGATCAAACTGATTTGTTTGTAGGCAGACCTGTACTTCTATCTTTTACTGAAATGTGGGTTCCCGGCACTACTCTGACCAGCAGCAGTGGCTAACAGGGCAAGCCAACAACCCTTCTGTCTGTACAAACACAGGTTAACGATGCTGTGTTGCAGTGCTGCTTGCAGGAGCTCATACGTTTCTCAGTCTTAGAGCAGTTGGAGGCTCCTTCTTGGCTTCCATATTGCTGTTCTTAAAACTGGCTTATAACGGTCTCAGCTGTGAGCTAGTAGCAGTTTAAAGCAGTACCCACAGGCAGTAAGGTGGGTGTTTGTAATTTGTTGCAGCTGCTTAAAATGATTCTGGGCTGGTTTCATCTTTTCCACCTGCATGCTGGTGTCCAGGTGTCAGCTTTTTCTTGGTCACCTTGAAACCACTGATTGCATACCAGTCCATGAAAATGTGTTTTGTTAAATATCTGAGAATTCCCTGGGTTTGTTCAGCCCAGAGCAGATGAGCTTACGGAAGGTCTTATGGAGGCCTATAGCTCCTCACAGGGGAGCAGAGGGATCAGAGCACTGATCTCTGCTCTCTGGTGACAGCGACAGGGCATGAGGAAATGATATGGAGCTGTCAGAGGGGTCAGGTGGGTGTTAGGAGAAGGTTCTTCACCATAGTGCAGTGAGCACGGAACAGGCAGCCCAGGGCAGTGGGCACAGCCTTGAGCTGTTGGAATTCAAGGAGCATTTGAACACTTCTGTCAGACAGGGTTTGAATCTTGGATGTTCCCGTGTGGAGCCAGGATTTGGGCTCAGTGGTCCTTAAAGATTCCTTCCAGCTTAGAAAATTATATAACATCAGTTTTCAGCTTGAGTACAATTGCAGACATCATCCTTCTTGTTTTTGCAGTCACTTCCCATACTCACTGCCATAACCCCATCCCACTGGACTGGAAAATCCCACGTTTTAAGACTATAAGCCTGAGAAAAAAGCTCCTGGGAAACTGTACCATTCTGTGTTCTTGTGGTCTCTGGCCTCTATGTGAAATCCATCATTGAGTTTCTTGCTTTGTAATTCAGACACATCTGCTGTTTGTAATCAGGTTATCGTAATGAAAAGATTCTGTTAAAGGGGAAAAAACAAACAAACAAACAAACAAACAAAAACCCATGAGCTTTAAACCCCTTGTACTTAAATAACTGTCCTATTTCAAAACCGTCTGTATGCATTCTGTATCATGACACACAGTTGGGAGGAGCCATCACCTCCCTGCAGGGCAGAGAGGCCTTGAAGAGAGATCTCAGGAAGTTTCTGAGCTGGGGGTCACCAGCCACAGCTGAACAAATGCTGGTTTCTGTACTGCTCCAAGCCATCTCCTGCTGTGGCTCCTCATGCCTATTGCTGCTGCCTGGGCACATTTCCTGCTGCAGTGCTGGGCACTGACAGAGTGCTGAGCCCACCCGGCAGCTGGAGTGCTTGGCTGCCATCGGTGGGCTGCAAATTCTGTCTTGGCAGCCATCACAGTTCCTGCAGCTGTGGAGATCACTGGGGACATGGAGGGGGCACCTCTGCTGCCCTACAGCTCCCTTTAGCCTCTTGTGCCCAGGACTGAGCAAAGGCCAAGCCTGCAGTCTCCCCCTGGGCTGCTGGCTGGGCTGTCACCCCAGAGGACAAAATCAGTCGGTGCTGGGGAGAACAAGAGGGGTCACAGTAGTCCCAGTGCACACTACTGTAGCAAAAATGGAGACACACCAGGTTAGCTTTTTTATTACAATTATGATTTTGTTTAGTCCTTTTAAATGGTTTATGGTCCAAACTTGTAAAAAAAGTCTTGAAGGAGCAACTGGAATGAGCCTTCATGCTGACTGCCAACCCTTCTTCCCATGCAAACCACGGTCCTCTGCTTCTACAAAGGAACAGCTGCATTTGGAGCTTCTCTGACACTACCTGGAGTACCACAGGGCACTTGGGGACATCAGTTGGCCTTTTGCTCTTGTCCTGGCACAGCTCATTGCACACCAGTCCCAGTCCTGTCTTCTTCCTTAGAGCTCACTTGGAGGCCTCATGGAGCTCAGGGCTGTCCACTGAACTCTTCCTGTTGTCCCAGTGCAGCAGCTCAGAGGACAACAGTCCCAGTCCTGCCCTCTTCCTCAGAGCTCACCTGGAAGCTACAGGGAACTAGGGCCATCTGCTGGACTCCTCTTGTCCAGGCAGAGCTCAGAGGACCCAGTTCCAGTGCTGCCCTCTTTCTCAGGGCTCATGTGGAGGCTGCAGGAAGCTCACAGCTGTCCACTGGTTTCTTGTTGTGCTCAGAGGATTCAGACTCAGTCTTTCCCTTTTCCTCAGAGCGAGAGGTCTTGGGGAAGGATGAGGAGGGGGAACGGGGAAGGAAGAGTGATGGGGAGCAGCTGCTGGCGCAGGGGCCCTCTGGCATGGTCACTTTCAAGACCAAGATGGAAATCGAGAGCCCCTTGCACACCTATGGATGTAGCACCG